TCATACAAATCTCACTCACTTCACAACGAGCACGGCATTGCTGCCGTGATTGTAGGGAGTATTCACTACAGTGCACAGGAGTTCCTCATAATAGTCGCCCTAGAGGGAATCTCATTAATCATATAAGGCCTGCATTTAAATTGCACAGCCTTAGTTCACATGGTAAACGGATGCAATAAATATTTGCGAGCAACTGCGGCTGTTCTTCTCCGCTTAGCCGCCTTCGTGAAATGGTTGCACTCCGTACTAAAGAATTCCACAAGTGGAGTCTAATTGCGCTTTGGAACATCTGTTCAAAGCTAAACTTTATCCCTGCGGCCACGCTTCGTAGATCTCATAAATGGAAAAACAGCAAGCACAACGGCTACTGTGCAACCAGAAATACGGCTTATAACTTTACTTCAGGCTAGCTTGTAGAACTAATTCGTCACAAAACAATATTGTGCACTCTGGCGTTGACGCAGTGAAGCGTCAACGCCAGAGTGCACAATATTGTTTCTGGCGTTGACGGTGATGGGCGCGCAGACGGCCTGTAGACGCAATTCGTGAGGTCTCTGCGTTGGGTATTAATGGAAACGCCCGTTTAAGCAGCAGCTGATTCATCCGCAAAAGCCCAGTAGGAGATGATTGAGATATGCATGCAGTCCGTCGTGGTGCCTCGCCGGAAACACGCAACACGCTGAACGCCGAATCTGCAGGGTGAACGCATCATCCGACAGCCCCGACGTTTTCTTCGAGGCGCAGTTGACTGATCTTGATGGATAAACTAACGGTAAGGGGATGAAGATTCGCGTAAATTGGAAAGGCTTTGACCCCCAATAAGCAGAGGATACAGGAAGAAACCAGTCCTAGGAAGGGCATCTGAAGCAGTGCATCTAGCGGTTAGAGCCTGGTGGGAGGAATCAACTTATTCCGAGATAAATCAGGACGCGTTGCTGCGTAGTCGAAGAGGCGTGCTGGTGGTCCTTACCAGCTGTAGCCTTCTTATTTTATCCGATGGCAGCACCCAAAGTGTGAGAAACTCTCCTTCAGACGGGCCAGTCTAAGGCGAGTTTGGTGCCTTAGGGATCATAGGGCCCTCTCAACTTGATCACACTGGAGTCAGTAGATGCGCCAGAGCCAGCAGTTCTGCGTCTTGTGCCCCCAACGACAACACTAACGCAGATGAAAAACACAATTGTGAGGCCTAGTAGGGATCCAAGTTCCCTCACATGCGAATCTATAACACTAGAGGTACTTCGGACCCAGTAAGTTGATGATATCCGGGGAGAGCCCTCAGTCCCTCACATGCTATCCTGAGATCTGTTCAAGATAACTTAGAGTATTTCTCTTTAGTACGAGCACTTGCAGTTAGCTTTACTTATTACTAGGTTGTATCTGTGAAGGACTACGGTGGGGCGCATCCATAGAACCCCACAGGTGAGTGTAGCGAGCTGGCATGCAATAACTATCTTACTGAAACAACAACATAACAAACTAACAAACTAACAAGGGTTAAATGACATTGCTTCTTTCAGTTTCTTCTCCAAAATTGTTCTGTTCTGCAACCCTTCTAGAGCCGGCACTGCGGCCTTTGGGGCTGGGAGAGGAGATGGCGTAGCACGTTGCAACACATTTGGCACGAAGGCTCATGTCAGCTTCTCCTATATTCATATCAGTGCCACTTCGTAAAGAATGTTTAATGCATTCATAAATGTTGTACTCAATGTACATCAATAAGCACTCATAGACACTCCGACTGTTTATTCAACCCTCACTCATTTCACAACGAACACGGCACTGCTGCCGTGATTCTAGTGTGTATTCACTACACAATGTATTGTGAATGGCGCGTAGGCTGGAGTAGTTGAGAGTCTGTGGGCACCGCCTCGAATAATGTGAGGGAATGCACTTAGCGGAGCGACTAGTGAATCGTAGGGGCCCGATTTTTCTTCGAAACCGTCGTGGGTGACTTGCAGAAAGTCCTCAGCAGGTTCAAAGGTCTCTGTAGCAACGCCGCGGCTCCGGCCGACGAAACCCCCAAGGGGGACTAAATCTAAGGAGCAAACTGTAGTTGTATTTGACGCTGAACCTAGTGTTATGTGACAAACAGGGTAGGAAGGGAGCCGTACTACGGTGGGGAAATCGCCCCATATAATTTGTAGCTGTATAGTCGATGGGAAGCACCGACGGGCCGGGTAGTGTTGAAGCGACGATTGCCGTCTATCTTAACCGACAACGATCACGACCTTCAATAGAGTCAAAATGGCCCACATAAGAGTTCCTCGAAGGGAGGTGATCTGTGTACAGAAATGTGTAGTTCCTTCTATAGAATGACGTATCCACAGAACGCCTTCGGCCGGACTTCCGCTGCCCTGTGTATGCCCATGTTTGTTGTCACCGCCGCTGATTCAAGGATTGCACGTATATATCTGAGTAATTGCCTCTCACATAATTAGGTGATATCCGGCACTTCCGGTCTACGCCGATACGCCGTAGACCGGAAATAACAGAGAGCACCTGGTCGATGTCTGCACTATTACATTTTAGGCGCATTCTGAACAAGGAAGGAAAGCGGCTGGGTGCAGAGTCGCAAACCTGCGGGTTAGTGCATCTGTTGTGCCTGTGCCTCTCGGAGTGGCTGACGGCGGTCATATAACGGTATGTGTTGAGCCAAGTGCTAGACTTGCGGCAGAAGGCGCACTTAGGGTCTCTTTCAATGCTGATGCCTTACGGCAAACAGTGGCGATTACATACAGGGCTAATGGCTAATCGAGCCCCACCCTCTGCAGTAAACGAAGTCGAACAGGCGATAAATCTGGAATGCATGCTGTCAATCGCGAACGACGTATATGTCATCACAGCCGCTGACTGAGGGTACATTCCGTTGAGATATCCGTGCAGGCCCAACCACGGCGCAGAGTGGTGAGCAAGAATCTAGCCTTGACAGTGTTCCGCTACTCCAGCTACTGACATCCCCGATACATGCGGAGACGGCTCTCCCCTGAAGGACCCTTCGTGGAGCGCAAAACGTCCTGGCCACCCGTTCCACTGTTCGGCTGACCCTACCAATGGCAGGTTAGAGCACGACCGTGAATTTTGCGAAAAACATCCGTGCAAGGCTAGGATGGAGAGGACAATCGACTGTTTCGACCCTGTCTAGTAAGTAGCACAGGAGATCTCCACAGATGCAATCGTACTTTAACTAGAGTTCGCTGGTGAGCTCGGCAAGAACCGTAGCCAGTTGAGTTTCTCAAGAGTGAGAAAAATGCAACTCAAAAGCGAAACGGGAAATATCTCAAACAAAGACAGTTGTGGAGCAGAGAACCTGACAGCTACGGCGCCAAAGGATTGCATTACCGAGTGGCATTTCAGGAAGCATCTAGCATCGTTCGAAGCTACACGTTTCTCGTGTGGTACAACTTCCGAACCACTTTGGCCAGGTTGAGTTCCGACGTATTCCGTTGACACGAAATATCTTTTACCGAGTTTTCCCGTGATTGTTGGTCTTTCATTTGCCAAACGGCGGCCAGCCCGCGAGTCCAGAGTTACACGGTGACGCCCTCAACCAAATGGTTTGTATGGATGTATGGAAAGACCAATAATCACAGGAAAACTCCGTATAAGATATTTCATGTCAACGGAATACGTCGGAGCTTAACCTGGCCAAAGTGGTTGGGAAGTGGTACCAGACGAGAAATGTGTAGCTTCGAACCATATCGGTTTATTGAATTCCGCCGGCATATTGTACTAGCACAATATTATAAGGAGCTGTCTAATTCTTACTTCCTGACTTCGCGTAGCGTAAGGTTTCAGCATGCGCCTAGCTGTTTGGCAAATATGAAAATCCTTCGGTGAAGGCATTTAGAGGGGTCGCGCACTGAAGGCCCCGCTTGCCCAGGTGGTACAGTACCGTTCGCCTAGTGCGTGGAAGTCTACATGTTTAAAGTATACTTTAAAGCGCATGGATCTTGGTTTTAATTCCATATAACAGATCTTTTCTGCCGGATCCGCTGCGTTGTCTGTCCACCACATCGTGTCAAGTCTGCCAGGTAGACCCAGGAGGAGCTGGCTTGCCATGCTCTTGTCTTCGTCTAGTGCTAGAAGCGAACGATGAGTCGACATAATAAAGCGAAGTTATCTCGGTGGTGTATTGTGTGCTCCTACTACAAGCATCTTTCAGGGGGAGGACTAGAAGACAAGCGACGGCGACCAGAAGATGATGCGTCATGCCTGCTTCTTCTCCGTTAGGACTACATTATGGGGATTTATTCGATCACTCTTTCCTGCCCATCGGCCCGGTAGCGGTGGACGTGGGAGTCTCAAGGCGTCTGCAAGGCGTCAAATGCACCACGCCGAGCCGGCATTTCAAGTGGTCTACCCCAACTACGACCGGTCGGAAGAAAATGTTGGAAAACCGTTATGTGAAACCCCATCAACAGCTTGTTGGCTTTGTCTGGGTTTCCTTGCTGCTGCTGGCGCGTGCAGCTGCAGACAGGAAAATCGGCGCCACCAGTTGCGTATAGAAAGAGAAAATGCGCAGACGCATGGACAGTGCACCAACGGTGTTTTGAAGAACGTCTTCACTAATGTTCTTCATTGCAGGGAAAGATGGGTTACCGCTGCCGTAACTACCGCATTTTTCCTCTCGTCGTCGCCTGCTGTGTTCCGTTCTGGGGCGCCAGCGCTTTGTAGAGAATTGTCAAGGCAGCGTGTCGAGCGTGAACTGCAGCAGTCGCCCGAGCCTCTGAAGCTACAGCAAGTGTTTCGGAAGATTGAGCCCCTCGTGGTACAGGTGTATGCGGTGCTTCAAACGCAAGCGCCTTTCGCTCACAAAGCCCTCGGCCAAACAGAATTCGATGAGGAGCAGCATGCGCATGAACAATATCACTTTCTGGGATCTGGCTTTTTCTTTGACGATGAGGGTGAGGCACTTAGACTTCAGTGAAACACTTTGTTAATTGAGTTGCGCAGATCTGTCGTTGGTTGGATACATAGGCTTGCTTTGCGCAGCTGCGGAGACGTTTTCAGGCCACATAGTAACTGCCGCTCATGTTGTCTTGGTAAGCTACGCCCCGCTCGGTGGCGAATTTGTTCGTTCTCTCTTGTACGAATGCACTGGCTGCGATGGATTGGCTGAGGGTCCGTCGCCTCACTCTTTTGTCCCGCGTTGATCACAGCAACCCAGTGGTTTGGGGACGGACGCAGCAATCTGCCCAAAAAGTCGTGAGCCACAAGTGCAAAGGGTAGACGGCAACTTTGTGCCCTTCCCACTATGTATAAAGGACTCATTAGGTCGGCTACACGAAGCGCGCCTCTGCGGCCTTGATGAGAGTAAGGTTTGTCCCATCAAGTTGTCGCAGAATGCTTGCGGGGAGGGGTCGAAGAAGGCGGCTAAAAAAGGGTCGTGACTGCGTGCCTTCTTGCATGTGCTGCAGCGACCGATGTTGCTGTGCTTCGGGTAAATAACTCCTTCCAGGGAAAGGAGTGCCCCCACGTACACGGAAGTAAGTCGTCACTGGGCCCATGAAGGTACCAATTTCCACGGAGAAGCTTCCAGTCAATGACTATTTTGGGGGGGGGATTTGATTAGGCTGAATCCTTGGTGATGCATCGATGTAACGCTCCTGGGGAGGGGTGCGTGCACGACTTACAAGGTAACCTCCATTTGTCAGTTATCTTAGCTCAGATCGGCTCAGGGTTGAGCCTTCATTCAGTCCGATTCTTTTTGTTTGCGCAGAGTTCGCTGTAACACGCCCAGAGATGGGAGAGATAATTGCGACCTACGCTGCAACAGAGGTACGATGGTCATACCCGTAGCAATTGCCCTTCAGAGTATGATCATCTCTCGCTGTAAATCGGTATCCGTTGCCGCCATCCCGTTATATAGAGGTGCATCCTGCTTATGTGCTTCTTCCCTTTAGCACGCAAATGAGCCAATAGGGGTAGCGGGCCAGGTGTTGCAGCCTCGTCAGACATTCAGGCCGACAGACGACTCGGGAAACTTGGGTCTCCTACAGCTGCAGTTGCTGACGCTTCCAGGTGAGTACCGCTTTAGGCTAGGCTGTGTGCTGCAATCCGTTGCCTCTTATCGCAGGCGCTGAATGCTCAGTGTGCATTTTAAATATTGCAGGCATGTCTGGAGCGCCTGTCGTCGACATGGAAGGCTCCATCGTAGGAATGCTTGTCAAGAAATTCGACATCTGTGGGTGAGCGGTGGGTTGAAAGGGCAAAGCAGAACATCGCATCTTCCGATACAGAGATAATCAAGATTCTTGAGGCATCTTTTGAAGCAATAAATAACAACTTAATGCTGCTTTCGCCCTCCATATCCCGCATTTCTTTCCTGCATGAATGCATCAGGCTGGCGTTGCCGTCAGCAGTTGTACTTCGGGTCGCGGAGTCTCTGAGGGATTCGGGCAAATTCACAGTTCCTTCCATTGGTATGTTGTAAATGCAGCCTTCGTTTTTCACGTGCGTAGTTGTGGTTTTCTACTCCCCGGCGTGCTTCTAGCGCTTTCTTGGCATATGCGTGGCGTACAGGGTTGCTCGTGACAGAAGAGATGCCACGTTTGGCTGCAGCACGTCCAAATCTGCCTACAGGTAAGAAGGATCTATGAAATCCATCGGGGAGGCGTAGGGGTTAGCCGAATGTACAACTGTTTCTTCAGTAACTCTTCTACGGGACTCCCGACTGCTGATGGGGAGAACAGCGGTCAAGGGGCAGCAACGAGTCGTGCGCATGCATCCATGCAGGATCGGGATTAAAGGTGTGCAGAGTAACTCCTGGAAGCGCGGCTGATAGAGCAGGTGTTCGCGAAGGTGACCTTATAATAAATGTGAAGGGAGAGGTTATGGATTCTATTGGACGTGTGAGGATTCCCTCGCCTTCTCAGTCCTCGTCAGTATGAACTGTACCACAGACATGTTCAGTGTAAACTTCCGTCATTTAAATTTCTTTTTGACCCCACAAGGAGAATTGTTGGTTTGTGGCATTCTGCCTTCAGCTACGAGAGGTCGTCCTGCTCCACAGAGGGGGCCCGATGGAGATCACCGTGCAACGAGGGACGTGTGCCAGAAGTTTACTGATGGAATTCTCTGCGTGAATACACTTTACAATTTTTGAAGTCATGTATGTCTTGAAGCATCCCTAAGCAGACACGCCAGTTTTCTCCAGTGCAAGGGAGGCGATTTACGTGCACCATTGACTCATTCGTGATTTACTGTGTGTTTGCAGAATGAAGACAAATCAAATAACAGTATCATGTGTTTTATTCGCATTTGATACCCAGTTCCTCGGGATACAGTCAATCCAGCAACTCATGGGCGTTGCATGGCGTCTCACGACTCAGTAACGTAGGTTTGATATCTGTCTACTCAGGATAGCTATCAAAGAAGCGTGACTATCTCTTGGGTACAATATTGATCGCTTCCAGCATAAACAACGTGCTCTGATTTTACGCTTAGTTCTTTTAGCCGAAGAGGAAACTTTAGTGACAATGCGCGTGCCTTCCTTAAGTGCAACTGGGAGTGCGGTAGATTTCCTCCCGGGAGAATCACTGTTCTTTACTAGGGGAAGGGGAAGCTTGAGAACCAGTTGCATGAGGATGAATAGCTGCTTTTATTCGCTTCACAGCTTATGCACGGGCAGAGGGAGCTCGTGCTTTGACGCCTGTACGCCAACATGGGATGGAGTAGAGGGCTGATCTGCAGGAATCCCAGAGCTTATTAGTGTGCAACTGAGCCTTAAGTATTTCTGGTAAAGCCTACAGTAACACTCTAGCCTCTCTGTGAAGAGCCACGGTTGTCGGTCGTCTGAATTGTAGATGCACTCGAAGTGATGGCTGCGGTGCTTGCCCTGGCCTCCATTGTTAAGCATGTGACGGCCCGCACTCGAGGGAAAAACAGAGCACTCTGCGTGGCGCCCATCCCAAAGAAGAAGCATGTCAACGTACACAGACAGTCGTGGAGCGCAGAGACTAACTGGTAGCAAACGTCCGTCAGGTGTACCAACGACTGATGAACGTTTCAAACGAAGGCGGGTCCCTTCCTCTAAGTAGGGCTTCCGGTCCTCCACCCCTCAGCAGACCTGCCTAAAGCGTCGTCTGAAGTATGGGGTGCTTTTACTCATAATTCCATGAAATGCTGTGGGACCAGCACATTAGATAGGAATAAACGCTCTTCTAAATCAGTGAGGGCCGAGCACTGACGACACCCTCCGGAGGCTGCTGAGTATAGGCATATTTTTTTTGGCTCCTGTCTAAACAAACTCTGTCCCTTGCGGAAAGCTGTCAGGACAGCGATGGAACAACGAAATTCTGAAACGAAGAAGCTATAGTATGGCATGATACTCAAGCACATTTATGCGATTTACGCGGGTAACTTCTGCTTCCCATTTACTCCTATTTATGGCGGACTTGGTTCAGATCCTGCTGGCGGAGGCACCAAACCCTAAACAAGGTAATATTTTGTGTGGAAACCGAAAACGTTTGTGCATGTATGGACCATTGCCTTTTCGTATCAGTTGCACAATATGCCGCACTTGCAGCAAATGCTTGTGCACGTTCTTGCCAAACATCTTGCAAGTTTTTAGGAGCCAGTGTACTTAGGATGGATAATGCCGTAGTGAAGTGCTCCAACGTAAAAGTCCAGAAAGATGGGCTTCTATGCAAATTGATATCTCACTTTATTCCCGATATGTCGCCACGTAGCACAGCAACTTGTCACTTGCTGCATATGCCACGTGCCAATAACAGCTCGTGACCACCAGCATGCATTTGGATAACCACAAGTTTGACACGTGATGGATTTGCCAGTAAGCAGATGTGAGGCGCTTACCTCTGGAATTGGGGACAAAATACTTCCCGAGATCCCACGCTGATCCGATCATTTTGTTTGTTTTCCTCGTGAGGTCGCTCAGCCTGTCATTTGCACAGGTCCCCATCTCTCATCTTGTGCTTGCCTTTCGAGCCTTCTACCGCAGTTGCAAAAGGATGAGGTGTGCCACTCTGCAAGATTATCCGGCTTTCTGGCCTCCTCGCTGAGGAGCTAGCCAGAACCTCTCTTTTCGTGTTTCGTTGGCATGCCCACTCCCGATCGTCGCCTATTTTATATCCGGATGAAATTGAAGCTTTACTTTTCAATAATCATCTAAGGTCGTAGAACTGACGTAGTTTTCTCTATGATGCGCGAGTGCCCTTTTATCGATGCGAACTTCTCGCCTTCAAATGACCGTTTCGTGGCCGTGTCGGTTGTTAAAGGCTTCTCTGCCAAGGAGTGCGCTTTGGTTGAGGACCGAAGCCTTAACGCTTGGTGAGTCGAGGCCCCACGCCGAAGTGGAATCATCTCAGTCTCGAGCTTGTTCCCCTTTGGATAGCATATAACACTGACATAGCTTGTTTCGTTGAGTAGCTGGAGACAAATGGACGTCGCTGTATACCTCAGAATGCAGATAGTCATGTTTCATGAGTTGCTTCGGAATGTATGCCCCCTTGCCCACATACGGCCACCCCTGTCCTTCAGTCCGTTCAGTAGAACCAAGCGAGGTACAGTTTGACGGCAAACATGACGTCCACAAAAACTGGGGATTTCCCCCCTCAGCCCCCCCACTCACCCCGCCTTTGCACAGGTCTCCATCGGAATTGGGCAGTCGACGAAGGCTGACGCATCCTCCACGTTTTTTTTTACGGATAAAAACCTTCCGTCTGGTTGGAACTGGAAAACTGCGTTTGTTTCAAAGCGACAAAGGCGGCAGCTCAACTGTAGTCAATACGCACTACACCTCCCCTAATTCTGGCCTTCTGAAGGGCAGTTTCTCACACAAACCATTAGGCGCCTCAGAGAAAGCGAGCCACACTCCAGTAAGCCTTCCTTTTCGCAGAAGCCAGCAAGCTGAGCATTCGAGCACCACAGTTGCGGGATAGTCTAAAGCCATGTTCCCGTTTACGGAAGGCACGTTCACAACAAAAAAGTACTATTCGTCTGGCCACTCCACTGTAAGGTGAGGTTCGCTGCCCGCCTGTGTTTCTTGTTAACCGTCTGTGAGAAACTCCTCTAAGTATGCGAACTGGTCAGCGTGTGTGGCCCTACGAATATCAGGGCTCCCACGCACTGGATCTCATCCACGCCAGCGCCTGCGAAGAACGGCATCGAGTAGCTCTCCAGCACCTTTCCCTCCGTATGTTCGGCTCTCAATGACAACAAATCACGGTGGAACCAAGGCGTATGATCCAAGCCTGGCTCCGAGTATCCTCACACGACGGGCTGGCAAGGGACGAGGACCGTGGAAAAACGGCGGGGGAGAAGAAGCGGTGCTGAGAACGCAGCCGTCGGTCCTGTTAGTCCCGCCGTTGTTTTAGAATAACATATATTACTTAGGCCCGATTGCATGTATAATTACATTTTCGGAACTCGTGCTGAAGGCTCCTTCGCTCCTCTAGCAGGCCCCTGTCGGGCACCTCTGTAGGCCCCTACTGTGTATGTTAGCTTGGCAAGCATCGCCTGTTCCGCAGCCTGAATATGTGAATGGTAAGCTAACGTAAGCCTAAAGGTATACATCTTCACAACTTATACAACATCTCAAAAGGCCCGAACTCTCAGAACGTTCCTTCTCTACAGTAACATTGGCGGCATACTCTGCACTGGGTATAATTCAAAACGAATGCGTACAACACCTTTGAACTACTATTCCATGTTGCACGCATCAGGAACTTCCACACCTGGTTAGTTACAAGGCCTCGCCCATCCACTACGGAAAGAGCCAACAAGCACAGCACAGCTGCCAGGGTTGTAGTCGGAGCCGTTATTGTAATGATCGTGTGACAATCACTAAAAAGCAACCCCACAAGCAAGCATACAAAAAGCTTTTTGGCCGGTTATACGATAATGCCGAAGTGGATCGTCGAGCATTTACGTGGTTACCAGCGGCCGATGTGCAGACAAGCACGAATGCATGCAGATACCACTGACAGAGACCGCTACACATATCCGAGAGGCTAACTGGTGTTGGCAAGCGTGGACAATTTCAAGTGTAGAAACGGATCAACGACAATAAATGACTGGAATACACTCAGCCGAGGTACAGTGGTGATGAAGTTGCACGGCTAGAGCAGGAGATCGGGATGACCGGGAACTGCGAGTCTCCCGCTAAAACGGCGAGAAAGTGAGGTCGAACGGGAATGGTACAATTTTCGCACCAGCGGATTCTTGATTCTCGGTTGCGGACGCATTGCCTCCAAGATTAGCAAGTGTCCGCCGCAGCATAATCTGCTGAATTGCTGCCCAGTTATTTGCATTCGCTTGGGAGAACGTCATCGCGGACTGTCCTGCATATAAAAAGCTCTCTAGCCCTAGATTCAAGGCGTATGCTCAGTATGCGCTTGTAAAAGTTCATATCCGCTCAGTCATTTATTCAAGCTGTGGGAGGGAGTAAAGGCCCTGCCACCATCAAGCAAACTCTCGCATCTGCTCCAAACAATATTGGATATTGCTTCTGTGAGGCAGCTGCCGAATAGCTCCCAGCTCTATCAGCATTCAGCCCCTTGACTCCACTGTCTGGCCTATACAAGGAATGCTTGTTAGTGACACGCAGTGTACCCGAAACTACAGGCATACGGTAGGTGAAACAATCGGCGGTCTGCATACAAATCTGCTTGCTATTCAGCTAGTGTTGAAGAAACAAGAGGAAAGCCTCACACAAATACTGCAGCCGCTGGAGCAAGCGATAACCTATGTTTGTTGAATTGAAACATTGAGCCAACGATTTGAGCATCTCGGTACGCAAAAGTAGCGACCGCCAGCGGCTCTGCTCAGTATAAGATATCTACCCTCCAAAAAGCAGGGAAAGCAACTCCAGACCTGCATAGTCGTGTCTCAGTAGCAAAAGTTATGAACGGACAATCTTTAAATGGAAACTCATCACACCGATCTGCAATACCTAAGAAGAGTAGTGAAATTCGTGGATGAATACGGCACTTCACAAAGCTACGTACCCTGGAAGTATTTCCGAGATGTTCGCGAGCTTAAGCTTGTGTGTTTTGCCTTTGCCTCTTTTCCTTATCCTTTATCCAATACTTTTCTTAAGTACCCGGGAAATTCGCATAATGCCTGCTACCGAGGCGGCAGAGGTTGCAGTGAACAGCTGGACTACACTGTTGCTATGTATGAGCGCTAAGCTATTCTGACTGTGCACAGTCTGCAACTAGCTACCTAGATCTATGCTTCTCGCTAAATCCACTAATAAACATAATAAATAACCAAAATACACTCGAATTCTTATTATAGTTGGGAAAGCAAGATCCAGTATAATAGAACTGGTTGTCGACCCTCGTTGAGAGTCAGTGCCAGAGCCACAAGATCAGCCTCACACCCAGCCCCAAGGTGGTGTCGGCTGGCGAGCACTCTGATCCTACTAAGCTTCCTTTCTATCTAAAAGCGTCCTAGCCCCTGAAATATTCTATATTATTTATTATTTTTCATGAAACTAGACCTCTAGAGGCCACGAAGGAGATCCATTGTAGTGCCTGTGCACTACAGATATGCCCGTGTCCTTTGGATAGCGGTCACCTTGGATACTTTAGTGCAGATGTTTACAGTATGGGGCCATTGGTATCCTCGCTGGAATTCTTCGTTGCAGTCAGGATCTTGACTTAGTTTGCTGTGCCGTATTGTTCAGCAGCTACACACCACCTCGGGAGAGGCTGGATCAGGCTGGGTCTGAAAGCCAGCCCCGTATCCTGGCTCTGGTTCAAGTCTGGCATCCGAAGGCGATTGATGCTGAATACTAAACAAAGCTGTTGATTGTTTTGAGGCAGGTTTGGTTTCAGATATTTGCTGAAGCTAGACAGAATTACGCCGATTGTTTCACTTGAAGACGCTACGAGTTGCTCACAGCAGGACTAGACAAGCCGTCAGTATTTACAGACGCTTCTCTCTGGTGGGCCGGAACTTCGTCCCATGAATAATTCCAGCATGCACACTTTTATAATGAGTACTGGCATTCACCTGAGGCAGGGGAAGCAAACAATGTTCACATCTTCACAATAAGAAGATATCAGCAATCTGCACACAATTGGACCATGTTGTCTCCATCCCTTGCTCAACAAACAGTTGCGAGGCTCACAGCGGCAACTTAGAGCAAAACATTCTTAGGAAGTTTCTTTGCTCAGAACGCGCTAGATTATCTCCTACCTGCACCCTTCGTTGGGTCGAAAGCATTTTGCAGAATTGAAACAACAATCGCTGCACTCTGTCGTGAATACGGAAGCATTCTTTCTGTTGAAGCCGCAGGCGTGTTTGTGCATGAGCAAAAAAGCTGGATATCCGCTGAGTAGGAATACATGCAAAGGGTGCTCTTCGTCAGTTACTGTCTCTGCAACCGTATTCTTGCAGGAAGGCAGTCCACTACATGTACAACCGACTGAGTAGGACACCCGCACGATGGTGAGCGCGGTTGGCGGGCCAGATAAGGAGCAGGATGCATGCGGCAGTGGTACACCGGATGCAGTGGCTACGTATTTACAAGAAACTGTAGCCAAGACGCTAGCAGAAGGCATAGCTGCTACCATAAAGGCTCAACCCGAGGGTATGGCTGGATCGAGCTTAAGGCTGAGATTCTATTACTTCGTTTGTCTGTTCAAAAAGTCAAGAGACCGTTTACAATGTGCTTGCGATAAGGCAATCTTGGCATATTTTTGTCTTAGTTGTGTTTAACGCTTGCGAATGATCCTTGAAGGAATGCAACAGGTTTTGTTTTCTTCCTTCAGATCCCCCCCTCTTTCTTTCCCGCTGGTTGCTGCAATACGTTGAGGAATGTCAAAAACAACTGCAGGTAGGGACCATGCAACACAGCTGAATCAGCCATTTCGGAGACCTCTCAACCGCATAATGGTTCTTTTTAGTTAACCCCCTTGAATCCTGAGCTAAGGGTGCTGCATCGCAGCAGGAAAAGACAAAGCTTTGCTCATTCGGGGTGAAGTCTGCCGTTCAGGCCTTCTCAACGGCACGGAACACTGCTTCAGTGGGTGAAAGGGAGGTAGTTACAGCACCTCAGACTTTACCTACGCAACTAGAGCTGCGAGGCCTTAATACTTCCGACACTGAGGCCGTCAAGACCTTTCAAGAGGTGGAGTGGGTGGAAGAAGACGCAATAGCTAAGGTTCTCAACCATTTAAAGGAGAAACTTGGCGCTACAGGGGTGTACCTGGCGAAGTATGAGGAGCAGATACTTTCAAAAGACGAAGACGCGACGGGAGCCCTACGATATATAGCTGCTGATGAGAGCCACACCTATATGCTTAACTACTGCCTCCATGAAGTACGCCATATCTCGTTCTGCACGCACAGCGGATCTTTAAGCTGTTCAGCAGTATTAATTGGGGCACCCTGCACTTCACAGTAGCACACTCCTCGTGGTAGAAGCGCACCAGCGCTTCTACCACGAGGTAGGAGCTCAAGTGCTACATAAGCTTTGCCGGCAACGGAGACCACCAAAGTTCGTGGCAAACAGCTGGTGAATGCTTCCCACTACGTTCTATCCTGTCCCATGAAAAGGAGCTCAGAACTTTCAATTATCAGTGTGTACAATGTTTGGTTCGAATCTTGAAGGAAGAGGGGTTGACGTGGGATTTGCTGCAAGACGACGAGCCAGGCAAGGAACTGGAAACACCGTCAAAAGACTCCAAAGACGAAGATGACGGAGACGAAGAGGGATTGTTCTCCGAAGCAGAGGCAGAAAACCATTTGACGTCTAGCAATGCTCCTGAAAACGAGATCGATAACCGGGTAACCCGTAAAAGCTTGATTGTTGAGGAAGTACTTGACAATCCTAGAATTCGCTTTTTCGGTCCTACCCGGCCTGGAAGCTACATAGCCGTCTCGATGGAGTTAGCTGAAGTCGCAAATACTGACTCGGTAATGGCTCTTTTCAATTGGATGAAGGAGAAGCGAGAGAGAGAGGAAGCCATTGCTGCTTCCCAGGAGCAAGATGAAACAGCTTCATCTGCAAGTGGTGAGTCCAACACCTAAATCTCATAGCAGGAAACTATTGTTAGGATTCCACTGTGTTGAGTATGGTGGAGCCGACTGCCTGGGAAGCAAGCCGCTTGCAGCGGGAGCAGTGCTAACACAATTATTGTTCATTATTCAGCATCGCCCTATGGTATCCAGTTGAGGCGGAATCCATTTCCCTTCCACTTCTGTGTGGTTTTTCTTCGCTAGGGGAGTCTGGAGCTGCCCCTGTCTACGTAGGCGGGGGTGACGGCACTGAAGGGGACTTAGATGAGGACGATCGTGACCAAGATGAATTGAATAAACCACTAGCGCCACCTACACTTCGCAGCACGCGAGAAAAGTACGTCCTCTGCGCTGATTCACTGGGACAGGAGATTTCCTTTGACACAGAGGCACTTCGGTGCCTCCAATTTTTTGCTGAAGAGATCGGGAAAACTATCGTGCGAACTCAAAAAGAAGCAGTTGAAAGGCAGGTAAGGCTAAAGATCTCTGCGCTGAAAATCGTGTTTCTTCCTCTTGGGTGTCTGATTTCTCTGGGAGTGCAGGCACTGCAGAGAGATGCGTATATCAGGGTGCTACGGTGAGTGTGAGATTTATGTTGCTTTATGCTCAGGCAGCTGAAATGCTGAATGCTCATGAAAAGCGGGATCTTGAGGAGCAGCTCTCAGAATTGCAGCAAAACTGCTCAATGAAGCTGCAACAAGTCCAGGAACAGCGTCAAGCTGACGCGCTACAACTCCTCGATGAACAAGAAGCAGAGGAGATAGCAGACGCCGAAAGACGAAGACAGGAACAGGAGCTAAGGCAACAGGAAAAGGCAGCAGCAAGGAAAACGACAGAAGAAGAGGCAATGAAAAAGGAAGGAGAAGAAGAGCGCAGCGATTTTCCAACCAGTGACAGCTTATCAAATCACGGCGAATCCGATGTAGACGCGAAAAGTGACGAAGAAATACTTATCCCTCCCCCTCTTTCCAGGCAATGTGTTCTAGACGCTACCTCAACCCACGTTGCCCTTGAGCTTTTCAACGAAGAAGTCCTCACGCCCCTTAAAGAGAAATTTTCGCTGAGTCAGTTCTCTGCTTTAGAAGAAGGGGAAAATTCCTTCATTGTAGACGGTTCCCCCAGGGACATACTTGCAGTGGGACAAGTTTCTGGGTTGCTAAATGCGCTAACGTAAGGTAGAGTGGCCTGCAAAGGAAAGTACTTGACTCCTGTGTCTGATATGCAGGCAGGCGATACATTGCGGACTCTCCTAAGCTGGTGTCAACAGCTGCCGCCTGTGCCCTTCTACTAGGCTACGAGGTAAAGGTGCTCAAAGTATACCCTCCCCGGAAAGACAGATTGTGGAACTGGAACCGCTTACGTCAACTCCTGACTCCGGCGTTTGCTGACGCGATGCTGGCGTTTGATCCGAAGGGTGAATAACACTCAGAGCAGGAAGAGGTGGCCAGGAAAAGCAGAGATTGTCGTAAGTAATCGTTTGCTTTTGCTGCTTAGCTTAACTCTGCCAATTTGAAAACTAGTGTGCCGGCTGGTCACGCAGCTCCAAGGAACTACAAAGACAAAGAGAATGGCCTGCAATTCATTACGGAGATGCTAGACAATGAGATTCAAACAGAGGAAGAACATGCTCAGCAGCCCCTAGAAATGCTTTTATCTTCCTGGCTTAGTGTAAGCAGCAACATTCTTAACTATTCCTCTAATCGCTAGCAAAGTAAGACATTTGGCAAAGACACCACATAAATCCCACAAATATTAGTCGCCCTGCGTGTTTTTGCTGCATCTGCAGAGTGCAGTGAAAGCGAGGCAAAAGGAGCTGGTTCTACAGAAGGAAAAGCTGAGGAGGGCTGCATTAATTCAACGTGCCCCTCCACCTGAAGTCTCTCAACTCATTGAATTAGATCCGGACTTTGCGTGTGTCGGAGATAATGAGGCTTGAGGATATTTTCGAACTGCAGTTGAACTTCCCGTACGCCCCTTTCCAGCCGTGAGATATTTTGGGGCCAGATATAGTATGCGCATGCATAGAAATTACCCATCTGCCACGCTACCACATCTTAAAACTGATGTTTCACCGTCCTTCCTTAAGGCGGTCAGAATAGGGATACTCAAGTAAAACACGCAGAGAGGTCTATTTTCATGCCATGTAATCCAAAAACAAACGTTTTGGCAGACTTGGGGCCGTTCGTCTGCTCCAGAGACATGTGCGCCGACGACAGTGTGTTCGCAAACTATAATCTGGAAAAGGTGAATGATATTCCTGCAGCTCACCAAATTTTGCCGCCGTTTCCTCGCCGACCGAGAACGGTGTACTCGTGCACGCTACGACATCCGAGCTCGCAAATCCTCAGGCAAATTCGAAGGCACTACTAGCTTCGATCTGTAGTGCCTTCGGAATTGCCTGACGATTTGTACTCTCGGATGTCGTAGTGTGCACGAATACACGATTGTCTAGCTTCCATATGGCGTTCTTCCGGCGCTGCGCCGATACTAATCGGCCGTAGTGACCAGAAAAGCCCGTCTATCTGCCAACTGCACGCCTATCCTGTTTTTTTGGGTTTCCTCGGCAGCCTGCACATTGGAAGTGTTAGCTGTAGAACCATCGATTGGCTGCTAGAATAAATTTCCTTTTTTGCGGACATTTCCTAGAGTTAATGCTCTGGAACTGCTTGTCCTTGGGGATGTTGTAGGCGTACTTAGTGGGAGGAAATAACATCGGATCCAAAGAAACAACAAATAGCTAACACAAACGTCCGGGCGATTCATACTTGCTTATCTCTGTGTGATGCTTCTCTCTGTGAAGGATGCGCCGAGGGCGTGCAGTCTGGAGATTCTCAATGCTGCAACTGAAATGGTCACAACGCCGTCTACAGGCATGTTGAGAAGCCCTTTACCAATGCTTGTAGTGAATACTCCCTACAATCACGGCAGCAATGTCGTGCTCGTTGTTAAGCGAGTGAGATTTGTATGAATAATGAAAGTGACTGTCAGTTCTTATTGGTATATATTTGGAATATAACATTGNGAGTGAGATTTGTATGAATAATGAAAGTGACTGTCAGTTCTTATTGGTATATATTTGGAATATAACATTGGTGAAAGCATTAAGCATTCTTATGGAGTGACCATTGGTATGATTATAGGAGAGGGTGGCTTGTGCCTTGGTGCAAAAGCTTTTTGCATCAGGCTATGCTGTCTCCTCTCCCAGCCCCAAAGGCCGCAGTGCCTGCTTTACTGGGGTTGAAAAACTAACAACAATAATAATTTTCAGAGAGAGAGAATTAACTGAGATAATTTATTTACTTAACCTTTGTTAGTCTGATATATTTGTTAAGTATGATAGATATTGCTTGCCAGCTCTCTATACTCAGCTGTGCGGTTCCAGGGATGCTCCCCACAGTCGCCTTTCAGCGTATACAACCGAGTAATTCCTATAGCTTATTGTGAATATTTGTACAAAAGAGAAACACTCTAGGATTTCTTGACCAGATGTCAGCAATTGCATGAGAGAACTGAGGGCTCTCCNACAAAAGAGAAACACTCTAGGATTTCTTGACCAGATGTCAGCAATTGCATGAGAGAACTGAGGGCTCTCCTTCACTAATCATCAGCTTACAGGGCCTACAGTAGTTAGAGTGTTATGGAATTACATCACCCCATCGTGTGAGGGAACTTGGATCCCTTCTACGCCTCACATTTGTGTTTTCGTCTGCGTCTGTGTTGTCGTTGGGGACACAAGACGCAGAGTTGTTGGACGGGACTAGTGTATCTACCGACGTGAGTGGGATCAGGTTCCGAGGGCCACATGATGCCTATGGCCTCCAACACCCTTTAGACTGGCGTTTCTAAAAGAAAGTTCCTCACAATGCTATTGTTCCGCGTCGTTAACAGCGTTACAGCATTTCTCCTTGCCTACGACAAATAGTCGGAAAGCCGATTGCTGTCAGCGCGAGCACGTTCCGGGTTGCTGTGTTGCTCTTGACAGAGCTCCCAAATTTTCGCAGGACCCTGAAAAAACCTGCAAATATCTGAGACAAACGTGATGCAGAGGCTGGAAAATTGCGTTTGTGGAACGCTCGAAAAGCTACAGGCTATTGTGTCGAAGTCACTTTGGCCGAACGCTGGATTAATTCGGATGCGCAAAAGTCTCTGAGACAAGCCCCCCGCGGCATGTTTACTGCTGGAACGGCAATTCGATTCAGGAATATATATGACAGTGATGTGGAAGATGAGCAGCGCGGTTGTTTGCAGCATTTACACTGCATCGAGAATTAGGAGTCGGCAAACTAAGTCTGGAAACACTCGGGAACCTTCCGTCGCAGTGAACTCCGGTAGATGTATTGCAGCGTTACTAGCCTTGCTCAAGCATACATTTTTTAGGGTCAATATCGCCTTGCAGTAGAGCAAGATGTTGTCAGTCTGAACACATGCAACAAGCAACCTCGGGCACGGGTACATCGAAATTATGTAGCTGGAAATAATTTAGGATCCCCCTGGTGGATATTCAAACATATGAATGGTCGTATTATTCAGGGATGTCAATATCCTTTTCGTCGCTTTATACAGGTAACCCTGGAATTGAGCCTAGTAGTACAGACTACGGAATTAGCTGAAAAAACTGTGAGCCAAACTGCTAGTGCACAAAAAGGAGCAACAACCTCACATATTGGCATTGCTAATGCAGATTATATTTTGATTCCATTCTCCTCATCGGACACACATACCGATAATCGCCGGCTGTTGCTCGCTCTTGGAAGTGGCTCATCACTGAAAGTATATCGAGGGATGTAAGGGTTTAGGGTTTAAGGTTTAGTTTTTGGGATTGGCGCTTTCATAGACTCTTGTGCAATCGGGAGATCGGGGCCTGTCGCTGGGTGTTGGCAGCCGGCTATTCGCTAAAATGCTTAATTGTTTTCACTTCCGAAAGCTGCCAGCGCTTTTGTCGACCTGACAGTGCAAAACTGAAACACGAGACATTTACCTAGCTTTTGATCTTCTTGTGCCCACAATTCCAGACCCGATTTGTGGACTGGGAAGAGCAGCATAGATTTGCTTCTCCCAAGAGGGCTAGCAAAACCCAACAATATGCCGGGATTTGCTGGCACTGTTGGATCAGCTTTCCAGAACTTTGCGACGTGCAATCAGATGCTCGGCATCATCGGTCGCAGCTAATCCAAAACCAAACTGCAGATATTTTGAATTTCCTCCGGCGGGGTAGAGGGAAGGATATGGCTCCGAGGAAACTATGCATTGTCTGCAAGTGATTGGCTCCAAAACACTTCGACTGAGTCCTAGTCTAGAGGCTATCTGCATATTATAGATTGCTTTTGCTACCTTCTGGGATGCAGAAACTAGCTGTTTGTACTGCAGCTGTGTTAACCTGCATATCACCACGCCTGCACCTGAATATGAGGGCAATTCACGATGAATTTTCAAACGTGTGCAACATGTATATGCATAGCTTGCAGAACATTCCTCGTGTTAATTGGATTTGAATGTATTTTTTCACACTGCATTATGCTACGTCCGTAGAGATTATCGACCTCACCCGTCACTACAACGATTTGCCTCAAAGGTGTCTACTACTATACAGATGGACGCTATATTATGATAGGTCCATAAATAGAAAAGATGGCTCATGGGATATCCGGCTGCTTAGCTGTTGGTAGACATCTAGTTTTTTTTACCTGTGTATTATAATATATCCATGACATTATTTCTCCTTTTACAATCAGATCTTGCGTCTCCGCTGAGCTTTCTTGACCTGCTGAATAGCTTTGGTTGTGCATAGCTTTTTCCAGAACATGGAATTTGTGTCTCTCCGGGGAGTAGAGCAATTCAAAATTCCACCATAGCGACGCACAAGATATAGCAATTTTCAGCGGAACTGGAATCAACAATCCGTCTGTTTTCCTGGAATAAGCAGGGGTGTCTTGTTTTGGTCTCGCCTGGCACACCATCTAAGGACTACAGGATCTCAAAACCCAACCGCGTGATCAAACAATCGCAAACGTTGACTATGTTTTGTACAAGCATTCCAAGCGCCCAGGAGTTGAATGCGATGAACTTCAGCAGAATGTTTCGATGTTCGAATTGCAAAGTCGCCTGGGGTTGGCTTCCACATAGCTGCATCGAAAAAAGCAAATCGTCCACGCTTCTGTTTTGATTTCGCACATCAAACCAATGCCCAGCCCAAGCGGGGAGTCTCGAGCTATGACGTTTTTGCCATTCTTTCTTGGCTTTTCTATTCAGCCTCCCTAACCAAACGCTACTGGCTCCTCGGCTCAATGGGCTGCTGCGTCTATAAAGCTGCTACGGGATCCTGCTTCTGTCCAATGAGACACTTAACCCACGTATTTTTGATATAGTCTTTCCCTTCCAAAAGCATTAAAGCTTCATGCCGGCCGCGTCGCGCATCTGCATAGGATCAAGATATCATCATACAACAGAAACTGATGGTAAAGCCATTTTGCTTCGAAAGCCAAGTTTAGCATATCCTATAGTTCAGCACTATCAAAAGAAGCAAAACCAGAACACTTCAGGGGTTCACACACTGGAAGGACTTTCTGCCAGGCAACGCGAAAATCTCGCTATACCCGGCTCTAAAACTGGTATACTGAAAATGCCTCCGCCCGCCTGTGTGAAGTCTGGGCCAGACACCAACGCAGATGGAGCCTCAGCAAAAATTTTTGAGTTAAAAGCGGGGAAGCCATGCGCATTTTCGCACACACGAAATACCCCATAGGTTGATAATTTTCATGCGAAGAATCCTGGACCAGCATATTTCTCCACTTCCTGTTGTTATTAACCACCCTTCGTTTTCAGCCCCGAAATGACGCACCAAACTAGTATTATACTGAAAACCAAGCACCCGTGAACGCCATTACATCTTGCTGTTAAATGGTCAGCCCTGCAGCGAAAGCGAATGATGGAAACGTC